TACTTTCAAAGTCGTCTGTTGAAGCAAGCTTTTGATGGTGTAGAGATCTGAACTGGAAGGTGTCTTTGGGTTTTCTTCTGGACATTTTGCCACATCAGGATAGTCAGCAATCTTTGAAAGCTGTTCTATATGGCTATCTTACAAATGCGTGTGTGTTTTTTTTTTTCCAACTGTGCAGATACAACTGTCTGTATCAGAACCTCTGTCATGGTACTTGCAGGAATTTGACCTATCTTACTGGTTCTGCTTTTTAAAATTAAAGTGATGTAATTTCTTACCTATGCACATAATTCTTCCACATTCAGGAGCTTAGAAAGACTTGTTATGTGTATGGCACTGGTAAACTAGCAAAACCACAACCAGAATACCTTGGTATCCTGGAACGTGACATGGGTATATAGATAGCAGTGTCCTGTCTCAGTGGCTGAGAGCTCAGTAGGGTCCTGCAATGAATTTTTTGAATTTCAGAAAAAGGACTTTTAAAAACTATTGGTTAGATGATAGAGTTGAAATGCTGCAATGTAGTTTTAAACAGTCACAGAACAGTTTTGCCCCAGACAATGGAGCAGTCGCCATCTGTGACACTGGCCATCTCTTTGGTTAGAAGTCTGTCTGTGGTCTATTAAGCTCCAGTTGGATTGTCAGGGTGAACAATTACCAAATGTTTATCAGCCTAGTGTTATTGCCTGATAACACTCATTTCACCCAAAAGCTTGTTTAAAAGCTTAATTCATGTCATCTTATAGTAAAAAATGACACTTAATTTCAGTGAAGTTTGGCAGGCTTCTAGGTCATTCAAAATTTATCATCTGGAGCGGGATCAACTAATACACAGACTTCAGATTAGACGTTCTTGTGCCTTTAGTCAAGAGTTGAGCTGATTACTGTGAGCCTGCTTATAATTTAAGGAATCCCTTGAGTATTAGGCTGTAGAAATAATAAATAGATTGGTTTTGTTCAGCCTTAGTATCTGAAGATACCTGGGGGCTCTGAGCAGAGTCCCATCAAGACAACACATTGTATTGTTTGGAAGGTGTTGTATCCAGATATTCACTTAAAAGTTATTGCTCACAAGCAATATGCCTTAAGAGCAAAGAAGTGAATGTGTTCATGGTGAGTCCTGGCATACTTAGGTGTAGACTCCTGGGCCATCAGAAGAATTCGATTCAACCACCGTTGGCCTTGGCAGAGCCACAGTGAAGTGGTGGCAAAGCTGATGGAAGCGATGAGCTAGCCTGAGCTTTCAAAAGGGTTGTTCAGCAGAAGCTGTGATTGGGAAACAGGACTGAGAAGACTCTCAGACTGGTTCTTGAACATGTTTTCTTACATGTTTGGTTTGAAACTTAGCACTGCTTGGTTCTTGTTTAGCCCTTTGTACTTTCTTTTAGCCCAGACTGGTTTGCTGCCTGTGTTACTAGCCAGCAGTAAAGCAAGTGCTTGAAGAAACAGGCTTTACAGAGATGGAAAGACTCTGCTCACCTAGAGTAGATGTGTAAAAAGTGTTCAGCCGTGGTCACTGATAAGTCTGAAAAAGCACAGCATGGCCGGTGTTCACTGCAGTGGCATAGCAGGGTAACCGCACTTTCTACCAGAGTTACCTACGTGGTGAAGACCTGAGTTCAACAGCTTTGTACAGTGGTTTTGAGAAGTTCTGCAAGTACATGCTGTTTCTTCCTGTAACCATAGCTGTGACTCCTGGCAGCAGCAAACAAGATGAGTAAACGCCTTCTCATCACTAAAGCTGGCTGAAGTTTGTAAGACTCTGTTTTGATGTTGAATGTGTACCATTTTCTTGGCCTTGAAAGGAAGCTGTGGGCGCTCCACATGGTGGAAGTTGATTTAAGTGACTTAAGAGAAAATGCTGCAGCTTTGGGCTCTGGAGCTTGGCACCTTGCTCAGTTTAGCTGCTTCCTGTCTTCCCTCAAACAACTCAGTAGCAGATCTGGGCAAGCATGTCCTACTTTAATTTTAATCTAAAATCCATTTTAAAGCAGCCGTATTACTTCTACTGACAAGTGATCTGTGAGAGAATAATCTTACACGAATGCTGTTGCTGGGTTCTGAAAAAATGGAAAAAATAAGACTAGGGCTGTGCTGGTTGCCATCAGGAAAGAGTCTGGCTTGGACGGCTGTATTAGAGGGAGGAGGAATGCGGCACCCTTTTCAGTGCTCGTTGAGACATCCTGTAAGGACACAAATTTTAGCAGTGCAGGGAAGTCTCAGTGGAGATTAGACCTTACTGGACAAGCATGTTTGCAAGGAAATTCTGAAGAAATAGGCAGTACAAACCCAGGGTGGGAGAGATGATGCAGTGCAGCCAAATGCAGTTGTGTGTACTTGGCTGTGCCTCTGACAAGTGTCAGTCAGAAGTTGCCACAAGGTATTCTGGGTCTCATCCAGTCCTAGGTAAAGGCAGCCCCAATGTTGCATGTGGCTTTGGAGACTATCGGTTCCATGTTAGAAGTGCTGATCAGGGTTACCCTGATGTCCTTTTCCAGGAAAGGACTGGATGATCTGCTATGTGAAATACCAAGGCTTTTTGGCTTACAGCAGTCCTTTCTTCCTTGCTATGTTATTCATTTAGGGAAGGGAAAATGTTGAAATATTGTCCATTCCCGCAGAGCTGGAGGGAGAGAGAGAGCTCAGGACATGGGAGCAGCCTGATGTTGAAGTCCCCACAGCCTCATTATTCTGGCAATTGGCTCCTTTGGTATCTAACAGGGGGTCCCCACTCCTTGCTCCTGCCGGCCACCTCCTCTGTGCTGGACCAAGTATTTGTACAGTGTCCTGGAGAGTCACCTCAGGGAAATGCTCAACCTCAAATTGTGTATGTCCTAAGCCCCAGCAAGGATAGAGCCAGCATGAGGAGACAGGAGCAAATATCAGAGAGCAGCCCTGAGGACAAGGACTTGGGGTGCTGGTTGATGAGAAGCTCACCATGACCCAGCCACACGCACTGGCAGCCCAGAAAGCCAGCCGTGTCCTGGGCTGCATCACAAGCAGCGTGGCCAGCAGTTCGAGGGAGGGGATTCTGCCCCTCTGCTCTGGTGAGACCCCCCCGGCAGTACTGCCTTCAGCTCTGGGGTCCTCAGCACAAGGACATGGACCTGTTGGAGCGAGTCCAGAGGAGGCAATGAAGATGATCTGAGGGCTGGAGCACCTCTGCTGTGAGGACAGGCTGAGAGAGTTGGGGTTGTTCAGCCTGGAGAAAAGAAGGCTCCAAGGAGACCTTAGAGCAGCCTTCCAGTACCTAAAGGGGCTGACAGGAAAGGTGGGGAGGGACTTTGTACAAGGGCATGGAGTGATAGGACAAGGGGCAATGGCTTTAAACTGGAAGAGGGAAGATTTAGATGAGATATCAGGAAGGAATTCTTCCTGATGAG